GGCTCTTACTGAAGAGTGTGGAGGTGCTAATCCACTCACTTGTGCCCCAAACGTGGTGTTGTGCCCTAAAACCAGTCCAGTTGTGGATGAAAAGCTGGACATGACCTGGCAATGTGCGCTGACAGCCCAGAAAGCCAACCATCTCCTGGGCTGCATCGAAAGCAGCGTGGCCAGCAGGTCGAGGGAGGGGATTCTGCCTCTCTGCTCCGCTCTGGTGAGACTCCTCCGGAGCACTGTGTCCAGCTCTGGGGTCCTCAGCACAGGAAAGACATGGACCTGCTGGAACAGGTCCTGAGGGGAGCCACAAAAATGATCAGTGGGCTGGAACACCTGCCCTGTGAGGAAAGGCTGAGAGAGTTGGGGTTGTTCAGCCTGGAGAAGAGAAGGCTCTGGAGAGACCTTAGAGCAGCCCCCAGTACCTAACGGGGGTTTTGAAGAAGGATAGCGACAGGACAAGGGGGCATGGTTTTCAACTAAAAGAGGGGAGATTCAGACTGGATATGAAGAAGAAATGTTTTATGCTGACGGTGTTGAGACACTGGCACAGGGTCCTCAGGGAGGTGGTCCATGCCCCATCCCTGGAAACTTTCAAGGTCAGGCTGGATGGGGCTTGGAGCAACCTGATCCTGTTGAAGATGTCTCTGCTCATGGCAGGGGGGTTGGACTAGATGGCCTTTAAAGGTCCCATCTCACCCAAACCATTCTCTGATCCCATGAAAACAGCCCCAGAACAAGACTGTCCTCGCTGTAGGTCCCTGACTTGGTGGGACCATTGGCCACAGCTGAGCCGTCCCACACACCTGAACTCGCCCCAGACACCCATATCCAGCCCAGGACAGAGCTTGTGTCTCTGGACACCAGCTCCCTACCCTGCTCGTTGGGCCAGGCAGCCAAGCTGGGCGTAACGAAAACTGCCAGGGACAGCTCAGGGTTTCAGCATGGGCAGGACAATTAGCCATATAATTAAAGGGGAACAAAATACGGGGCATGTCTGGAACAGGAGAGGCTTTGTTTGATTTAAGTTGTGCCTGAATGGGTCAGACACCCATTTTTGGAGGGGTCAGACGCCCTCACCAGTGACTGTGCCCTTCTTTTCCCTCGCAGAAAGCCCTGAGCCAGGTCCTGTTTCTGACCCCTCACTTGCCGGCCTTTTTCCTGAGGCATCGCCTGCGGAGCCATGTCTTGGAAATCCGGCACCTGGACCGTGCCATGCTGCGCCTGGGTTTGGGCCAGCTGTCCGAGGAGGAGCTGAAAGCGGTGAGGATGGTTCCTTCAGCCCTGTGCCGGCTGCTTTACCCTGGGGTTGCGTCATCCCGGCCCTCCCTGGTTGTTAGCAGAGCTGCGCTGGGGCACGGCATGTTCCTCCAGACCCACTGCGAGGCGGATTGCAGCCACTTTCCTCCAGGAAGTTGTTTTCTGAGCCCATTTTCTGTGCCGGCACCACACTGGGGCACCGCAGGGCATGGTTCGGCATTGCTTAGCCCCTCTTCATGCTGAAGAAGGATCATGGCACGCTCCCTGGCATTTCGTGTGACCCAGAGTGCCCGTCCCTGAACGTGTCTGTATTTTTATTCCTCTTCTCTGCTCTGCAGGCTTGTTACCTCCGTGGCCTGAACTCCACTCACCTCGGCATGTCCGAGTGCAGAGCGTGGCTGGAGCAGTGGCTGGGGCTCTCCTGCAAGCTGCAAGGTAATGGTGGCTGAAGGGCAGCTCCTGCCTGATGGGACAGGGGGGACCTGGGAGTCTCTTGAGTTTCTCTGGGCACAGGGAGTGTCAGTTCTGGGGAAATTTGGGGTAAATGGTGGCTTTATCCCCCTCTGGGCTGCCCCACCGATCTCCTGGGGCCTCGTCCCCGAGAGGAGGACATGGTGGAGCATGCTGGCTCTCTCTGGGGACGTGTCCATGTGGAATACCCGCAAGGGACAGCCTGTGTTGGGCTGTCCCTGTCCCACAGAGACCTCGGGGTGGCAGATTCGAGCCCCGCAGCAACATCAGGGGAAGGAAAACTGGAGCGGGAGGAAAACGGGGGATCTGGAGCAGAGCAAAAAGCCCCCAGAGAGAGAGGCCAGGGGTGAGGGGGAGCCCCACAGCCTCTGGTGCTGCCTCAGCAGCTCGGGATGAGCACGTTTGGAGCAACTGGGCTGCAGCAGTGCTGCTCTGACCTTGCTCTTGTATTTTTTCAGCTTCTGAAGCTTCGCTCCTGGCGAACAGCATGGTCCTGCTGTCCCTCAACTATGTCAGGGCCAAGGAGTGATGGCCGAGCTGCCGGCTGCGCACCCTCACTACGGCATCGTGCGTCAACTTGGCGATTCCCAGCCTGGTGCTGCAAAAAAACCTGCCTTTCGGTGATGTGAAACCACAGCCCGGAGTTGGTGAGAAGGGCCCCGATGCTGCCGCTGGGGCGAAGATGCAATTGCCTCCCTCCTGCACTGGAGGTTTGTGCCGGTGCCGTCTCTTCTCTTCCCCTTCGTGCCGTCAGAGCAGGCTGGTGATGTCGTGATGTCATGGGGCTGAGCCCCGTCCCTGCCTTCGACGTCCAGGGGAGGTGACTTCACTGTTACGGCTCTTAAACTGTGTCACTTTAACTACGGGAGGGGAGCACAAGTGTCTCCGCTGCCTGTGGATGCTTCCCTTAGTATCTCGTAATAGCGGGCTCTGTTCAGCTTGGGTTTTGCTGCTCTATGCCTCAAACGGAGGGTTTTACTTAGTTTCTTTACTCCACTGAGCGGTCTTAAATATAAAAATCTCCCTGAGGGGTTAAGAAAAGACCCCAAATCCCCGTGCAACCTTACCCACAGCTTTGGGGGGGTTCCCTGCGGGGGGGTTCCTTGTTTGGCTGTGGCTGCCTCCCAGAGCATCCCCATCACAGTCCCTCACCTGGGGAGCCCTCGCCACCGGCGCTGGCTGATGGAGGGAGGATGCCGGGACTGGAAATGCCGCTGTTGACACAAATGGTGTTAGAAAGGCAGTGCTGAACTGCACTGATGCCTTCAGCGGAGGCCACGGCCTGCGTTTGTCAAGTTCTGCCTAATTAGATCCTAGCCCTGCGCTTTCTGCTTGGCGGAGGCAGCTCTGAGGGCTTTAGCGGCAGCTCCCCGCTGCAGGCTGCGTTGAGGGGGTTAAAACCCACCGTGTCTCACCTCATCCCGTCACTGCATGAGAAATACCCAGCTGTTGAGTGAATTTAAATCTACTTTAAGTGTTTTATTAAAGAGAGAAGCAAGCGAGTGGCTCAAGCATCTCTCTGGAGGCCGCTCTGCACCTCCTGCGCTGTGAAATACTCTGTGTCCCACCAGCAGCTCCTCCACCTGTGGACAGGGCATGCTACCACCTGGAAAAATCTCCTTTTTTAAGCATTGTTCGGGTATAAAGGAGGGGTAGAAATCACTCACATGTGCACCAGGCCAGCTCTGAGCTCCTCCCTCACCTCTTGGAGAAGAAAACCTTTTCCCTCACCCCCTAGCCTTGCTGTTTTTGCAGGAATTCGAGACCCTCACTAAGAGGAATTCACCAGGGTGGGTGTAACCCCCTTTAAGACGCAACTCACCATCCAAGTTTGAGCATTTCTTTTATTTTTACACTTAAATATTCTCTTTAAATACAGCATTATCACCATGAAAAGAACAGAAAAGGCCAGAAAAAAACCCAAAAACCGTATGCAGAGGACAAGCTTTGGATTCACACTGGAAAATTAAAAACAAAAAAAGCCACCTTAGACAGTGTGAGACGGGGAGGTTTAGGAGTCGCAGAGTTGCTGTTTAAATAGGATGAGGAGCCGGGGACGCCTGGATTTCGGCGGTGCGATAGTGCCGCGGCTCCCGCAGCACCTCGGTAGCACCAGAGAGGACATGGGCTGTTTGGTTTCTTACACGGCGACGAGTCGAGCAGGAGCCAGCACGGAACCAGCGTTAGTGTCAGTGAGCACGTTTAAAACGAACAAAAATAATAATAAAAGGCAGAATTTGCTTTCATTGCACTATTAACAGCATAGTTATCTTTGTAAAAATAGAATAAATCCTATTAGTTCTTTGCTTATTGTGAAAGCACCCATCCTAACCAGTGTCTTAGGATTCATTCTGTCAGTTGACGGAGCCTCCAGGCTCGCCTAATGAGCCACCTCCCCCGGGGCAAGCAGGTCCTGACCTGGCTATGGTGGCCGAGGGCTGGGACACAGAGCTGGGGAGGGAGTGTGGAGTCCGTTGAAAATAAAAAAGAGGGGAAATAAAAGATGTTAACCCATTCAAGTGTCACTATTTGCTCCGGTTTTGCAGCTCGGAGTTGCTCAGTTTCGGGCAGGAGCTGAAAAACCCCCACGGCCAAACTGGTGGCAGCTCCCTGCCAGGAAGGGACGCCGGGACATCACCAGTGAAGCGCCCAACAAGGGGGGGTAAGGCTTTGTTCCTCCCAAATTTAGCCCTTGTATGCCGGCCGAGGGCAGGGAGAGCTGCTGCCGGAATTGGTGCCGGCTGGTAATGTGCCCCGAGCCCATTCCGGTTTGGAAACCAGCTCCTTCCCCTCCGCTCTGTCCCGGGAGAAGGGGACAGTGTCCCCAGGGGCTCAGTCCTGGCAGAGAGGGAGGGGATGGGTGGGGAAGAGCCACTTTGCCAGGCTTAAGGCTCAGTTGGAACCACTCGCCGAGGTGGTGAGAGCAGCGAAGGGGTTTTAAACCCCTTTAAACACCTTTTGACAGAGGGAGGTGACCGCCAGGAGCACAAGAACAACCTTAAACCACCCCACCCCACCCCCAAATAATTAAAGCACTTCATCACACTGCAGTGTCCTCCCCTGCCCCAATTTCCCTGCTCTCCAGCTGGAATGTTTCCCATTTGAGCAGCTCCGGGGTTGTTTTCCAAGAAGACGCGAGAGCGGCAGCTGTGGGGCTGTATTGGATTGAACCCTCCGGCAGGGGAAGCTCGTGGGCATCAGGGGCTCTTCACCCCCACCGCTTCCCCCGATTCTCGCCTTAAAAAAGACTGGATTTTGCTCAGCCCCAGTCCAATAAATGGCGGGGCAGGGGGGAACGGAGGGGAGATACTTCCCCTTGACCAGGAGGAGGCTGGAGCAAGGGCGGAGGTTAAAGCCACTGGGGAGAAGGAAGAGGAGCGTCACGCCGGGTCCCACCAGGTCCGGCCCCTTGAGACCTGCAATGGGGCCGGTTTTGGCAGGAGGCAAAGGGGGGGGCCCTGGCCCGGCGCTGGGAGAGCTGGGGGGTGGAAAGTGCTTTTACTGCCTGGCCAGGGGACGCAGCAGCCCAGTGCCTTGACCATTCCTCGAGGCCAGCATGGTGCACAAGGATGGACAGATGGACACGGTTCTCCATCACGATCATGCTATGGCTGTGAAGGGCTCAAACTCTTCAAATCCCAGCAGTTAAACCCCCCCAAATTTTCTAGGAGAGTTTGCAGGCTGCGGTCTCACCCCTCTTGTGCAATTAGAGCCACCCCGCTGGCTCTGGGTGCTTCCCGATCCATCCTGGCCCCTTGTGCCTGCTGTGGTGGCCGGTGGGGCAGTGCCATAGGTAAGGGGCTGGAGCAGCACTCGGAGGCGCTGGGTTGTGACACGGCCCAGTAAACATTCATTAAAAAAAAAAGGGGGGGGGGAAATAAAGGAAAAAAGTCTTTTTTCATTAAAAAAACAAAGAGGGCAGAGGTGTCCTGGCAGCCTGGAGCTGTGGTGGGGGCAGCTCAGGGGGAGGAGGATGGGAAGGAGCAGCCATGGGAAGCAGGAGGCTCCAGGTCAGGAATGTCCTGGGGCGCAGGTGGCAACCGAGCAGCTGCCGGCATCGGCCGAGCCATGAAAACCGTCTCTGCCAGGCAAGCGAAAGGCTCCTGGCATCGGGCGAGGGGACGCCGTTTAAAATCCTCTGTACAAAGCAGCCCCTGCTCTTCCCCCACCCCCCAAATTAAATAACTACCAGTGGCTGCTGCCAGTCCATAAAATATTATTGTCAATAAATAAATGAGCGCCAAGGAGGGGGGTGGGAACAGGGCCGCTCATACGGGCAGGACAGGCCCCAGCGAGCGCTCCTCGGTGGAGGGCGGCTCATGCGCCCGCTCCAGGGCTTGCTCCAGTGGCACGGGGGACGGGGAACGCGGGCAGCGGGCAGCAGCCGCCGCTCGGCAGCCCTCAGAGGATGGAGCAGCCTCTGGAGATGAGGGAGGATTTCGGGATGCTTCCCCCTTGCTCGCAGCAGCGGCGGCTCGGCTGCAAGTCACCACGGGGACGGGGAGGACGCTGAGGTTCTTCTCGCTCAGGCAGGAGGATGGTGCCGGCGGCTCCGCCGGGCTGCTCTCGCCCTTGACACCCAGCACCGGCCTCTGCTCCACCTGGTAGTAGACCACAGGTCCATCGTTCAAGTAGGGCTGGTCGCCCACCGCCGAGGCTGCCTGCTCCGAGCCGTCGGCAAAGCAGAGGACGGACGAGCCTGGAGGTAACTGGGCTTGGATGAGGATGGGGGCGGCAAGACCTGGGCACAAACCCTCCGGCACGGCCAGGGGCTCCTCCAGGATGCAAACGCCCAAGCTCTCCATGCTGGAGCCGTTGCTGGAGTCTTCCTCAGCCTTCAGCCTCTCCAACTCCTCTGCCGTTTGCAGGTGCATGACGGCTGTCTCGTTCTCCGCCATGAACTCCTGGAAGTCCTGCGTTTCGGCCGGCTGTGGCCCCAGCCAGTCGCTAGTGGAGCCGTGAGCGGCGGCGGTGGCGGCAGCGGCCGCCTCCTCCTCTGGTGCCGGTGGCCGCCCACCCTGACGCTTGTTCTCCAGCTCCAGCTTCATGATGGTGTGGAGGTAGTGAGTCCGCACCCGGATGGGATTGAATTCGATCCGACCGGCCATGTTACCGCAACCATCCCGGGAGCAGCCACAGGGGAAGGACATGCGATCCACCTGGCAGGGAGACGGAGATGTGGCAGCTCCAGGATCCCAGAGGATCCCTCCCCAGAGCCTAAAATGCACCCTGGCACTGCCTGACCTTGGGAATTTGGTGCTGGGGGAAGTGTTTCCCCTGCTGGGTGTTCACCAAAACAACCTGGAGCTGCGCCCCAGCCCCTCCAGGAGCAGCTGGCACCCAAAGAGAGCACAGGCACACCGGCACCAGGACGAGCCCCGCCAACCTGGTTTCACCACTGGCATCTCTTTCCTCGACTCACCTGGCATTTAATCCCTGCCTGGCTGCAGGCACAAGCCTCCGGGTCGCAGTAGAGGCGGCAGTCACAGCCGCACTCCTCCCGGGACAGGCGGATGGCCCGCAGCTCCTGCTTCTCCTCAGCATCGATGCGGTGAACACCGGAGGCTCGCAGCAAAGCTCGGCGGCGTTTGGTGGGCAACGGCTGCAGGAAGAAGTAGTCGTCCACCTCCACGTTCTCCACGTCGATGTCGTCATCCGAGACGTCCTCCAGCGTCAGGCCGTCCGCCTCCTCCGACTCCACCGTGCCGTTCTTGGTGAGCTGCGGAGCAGAGTCAGCGCCCACCCAGGGGACACACACTGAGCCGCGGCGATGAGGCAGGATGGAGGATGTATGTCCCTCCACCCGGCTCCTCGTCCCCCAACGACCACCCACCACCCCAGCTCAGAGCCTTCCCTTGCCCCCCAGCACTGAGCGGGGTCCAGCACAGCGAGTTGAGACCCCCACAAAGCCATTCCCATGCGATTCCGCCCCCCGAGCCAGACTGTGGGTGGGCTTGTGGCAGTTTATAGGAGAAGGAAGGGGGAAAAAATTAAATAACAGAAGAATTAGAGTAGAGAATCCCTTTTCCGTCTTCCCTCCGCTACGGCGCCCTGCAAATAGTGAGATAAAAGGAGGGTGCTGCTGCTTGAAATACCAGAGCAGCGGCAGCAATGGAGCTGCAGAGCATCTCCCTCCTGTTGTCCCTGGGGAAAATGAGGTTTGAAAGCAACAGAGGGGCCAGAGCCAGATCCTGCAATGCGCCTTCACCTCCCTGCTCTGGTCCTTCAACCTCCCTCCCTGTGCACTCAAACACCCCCAAATCTTGGCACTGAGGGTAAATGAGAGTCCCCAGCCCTCTGAAACTGGCACATGTGGAGGCAGCAGATGGAGAGGGCCGCGGCCTCCTGAGGAGCTGGTGGAAAAGCCTATGTTTAAAAACAAAAAAAAAAAAAAAAAGAAAAAAAGAAAGCAAATAAAGAGGCAGCCGGCTGGATTTGCCCAAAGCAGGCTGTCACAGCAGTGGGAGCCAGATCACAAGCTCTGCAGAGCATCCCGCTGAGCACAGCCCAACCTCTGGGCAACGCCTGAGGGCACAGATCCAACCCTGGGACGGGTTGGGGAACAGGCAGAGCCACCCAAGATCCTGATCTTCCCCTGACGCAGCCTGGCTGCCTCCTCCCAGACTGGAATTTCTACTGGCATGGACCTGGTGAGGTTTGGCTGACAGCTCCAGCACAGGTTGATGCTGCCTGGCCAGCTCCCCATGCAGGTGCAGCATCGACACAAAAAAGACATAAAAGAAATAGAAAGGAAGAGCTTAGTGGCAATAAATCCATCTCCAGCTGATGTGAAATAGCAGCCTGGATCTCTCTCCTCCGACCTGGCTTACGCTCAGGCTCCACCAAAGCTCAGCAAGGTGTTTCCCGGCGGCGGCATTGCCCAGGTTTCACCAGCGACATCCTGCTTCCCCAGCAATACCTTCATTTTCTTGGCGTGGAGTTTTTCTTCCTTGAGGTGCTCCCGTAGGATCTCCCGGTGATTCACCTCCTGCTCCTGGGCGAACTCGCAGAGCGTGTAGTGGCGGACGGAGTTGTGGCGTTGGGCCATGCCCAGGGAGCTGCCGCCCTGGCTGGGGACGCTGGTGAAGCCCTGGCGTCGGGCGAAGTAGTAGACGGTCACTTGGTCGAAGCGGACATTCTTCCTGCGAAGCTGCTTCTGCCGCTTCAGGATGGAGGTGGCTGCGGGGCAGGGGGAAGAAGGCAGAGAGGGGCTGTTAGGAGCAAAAAACCCCTTGGGGGTCCCGTGAAGACCTCCCACCCCACTGGAAAAGGACTTTTCTGCAAGCCCCTGAGCCCCTGGGCTCCCAGGAGCAGGTCAAGCTCGTACTGGTGGCCCTGAGCTGGCTTTGGGTGATGGCTACATCTGCACAGGCTATGCTCGATGCCATCTAGACCGACCCCATTAATCCCCGTACCCCTACAACATCATCATGCTGTTCAGCCACCAAAATATCTCAGCAGGGGCGAATGCTGGGAAGGGGACAGAAAAGGTCCACGATGGACCTTGGACAACTGGTTTGGGGTCTAATATTTGAAAATCCCTGGGGCCTGGCATGACCCATACTCATGGGACAGGCGAGCAGGTCTCTGCTCATCACCCCAAACGGGTTACAAGGGATGAGCAGGGGAAGAGCGGAGCCAGCCCCACATCCAGGTGCCTCGTGCTTGATGGCAGAGGGACCCGGAGACTGGGAACGGGGACGGGGACCATCCCCGACCACTCACGTATGAAGCCGGTGGAGCTGGAGGGGTTGACGCTGTCGCAGCTATCGGCACTGTCGCTGTTGGAGATCTCCGAGATGTCCGAGTTGGAGCCCGGCGAGCCCACGTCCGCATCCTCAAACTTCCTCTTGAGGCCGGCGCTCGCGATCGCATCCATTTGGCCGCGGTTCGCATGGAGAGCCGGTGGGCGGCAAGGGGGGGGTGCTTTGCCACCAGCTTTCTGGAGCCAGCCCCCGGAGCTGCCGGCGGGCTCACCGCGTCCCTGCAGACAAGGCAAGAAGCTGTAACAGCATTTTGGATAAGCCAGCATCAGCATCGGGATAACCAGGAAAAGTTTTCCTGGCTCTTAAGAGCAGTTTCTCCCCATCCCTGTCCTGCCCACCCCAGATAAAGCCTCTGATCCCCAAAATGCTACTGTTCTCCTACAAGTTCTCTGAGGCGAGCCCATCCTCCCCCTGCCTGGTCTGCAGGAGGGAGCTTGCGCGTGGTTAATATTATTTAATGATATCCTTTAATTTTTGGGCAGCCCTGGAGGGGTCAGGCAGTTGGGCAGGGTGATGGCTGCAGCTCCCTCCCAACTAAACTCTTCTGTTCTAAACGAATTCATAACTGAATTAACCGAAAGAGAAAAGAGACACCAGTTTTACAGAGAAAGGAGCTCGCACTGCCCCGGCATGGCCGACCGCTGTGCGTTTTGCCTGTGAAATAACCTTTGCCGGCAGCTCGGTGCTCCCATCAACTCCCTCGCTAAAAAAACCTAAAGCTTAAAACGACCTCGAGACATGCCAGGGGTTACCCTAACATCGCTGACGACAGATCAGCGGCTCCATCCAAGCCATAGGGAGGGAAAAAGCCCCTGTAGGATTTTGCTGTGAGAGTCTCCGGCATTTTCCTGCCCCCTCATTAATGCCTACGTGCTCCAAAAAAGGCAGCTTGCCCACGGGAACCCTGGAAATGCACGGCTCCAGCTCAGGCGAGGAATTTTTAGGAGCTGATCCTCCGGTGGGGAAGACTGGCGAGCATCGCTCCGCATCCGCCCGACGCTTTCAGGTCACCGCAACACCAGCAGCTTCGGCTTTTGAACCGAGCCCAGGACACCCCTTGTCCCCGTCCCCGGGGCCAGGCTGGAGCGGGAAGCTTCCCGGGATGCCCGGTCCCCCTCCTTCCCGGGGAGCCCAGCATCCAGCTGGTTGTGCCATCTCCTCTCCGCTTTCTGTCCCCTCCGCTCCAACCGCCGTTCTCATGGCAACGGAACAACCGGCTTCGAAAAAAAGCATGTCAGCCAACGGCATCCCTGCGGAACCCCGGGACAAGGCAATCTCGGAGCAGGGGGATCAGAGGGTTTTCGGATACGATTCGGGGGGGACAAATGGGTAACGGGAGGCACTGCCCACCCCGGGATAAAGCTCAGGGATGGGCTCCGCATCGCCTCCGGCACCTTTAAAGCCAAAAAGGAAACGCCGGTGCCCTTATCCCCCAAAAAAGGATGCGTTGGTGCCAAAGCCGCAGCAGCACTGGGGACACGGTGAAGCCCTTGAGCAGGGTGCGATTTCCCAGCCCAGCCTGCGTTTAAATACGGCTTTTTGGGGTATTTAGTTGTAGGTAAATTGCTTATTCCTATTGCTAAAGGAGGGGAAAAAGCAGCCATTGAACCAGCATAAGCATCAGCCTAATTAAGGAGCTGATTTAGTGACACCGATCCTGCACACGATCTGAGGGGAAAAGTGGAGGCATTGCTGCCACCACGTCCCTGACCCCCCCATCGTGTTTTACCACCTCCATCGCCCCAAAACGGCCCCGTTTCTGTGCCCAGGAGGTCCCTGGCAGGTGCTGCCTGCGCAGTAATGGTCATCCCAGGGCTCAGCTGCCTTCATTGGCCTCGTTTAGGAAGGAGATAATTAACGAGGAGAGTCTCTGCGGTTTCTCCCATTCCCTCCAATGCAAATCTTCAAAATATCATCTAAAACCCCTCTCTTTCGCGTGCTCACGGCGAGGAAAATCAGCAACGCTGTCTGGGCGGACATCCCCACCTGCGGCATCAAACTCCCACTGGGGATGGAGACCAGAACCTTTCCTGGATGGATCCATCAGGAGATGGTTCGTATTAATAGTGTTTCTTATAAAGGACCAACTCGCTGCGCCGGGGGGGGGGCTCAAAACCGCCCCAGAGCTGGGGGAAATGAACCCAAAGCCGGCAAGGTGGGCACCCACCCAAGGGTGCTGCCTCGAGGGATGGCTGGGGCCGAGGACGGGGAGCCAGGAGGGGCGAGGAGCTCGGGGAGACGCTGCAGGGGATGAGGCAGCCGGAAAATGAACTTTTCATCTCATTTCTGCACAGTAGAAGCTCCCCTGCTTGCACGGGCATCCTCTTCCTCCTCCATCGGCACAGCAACAGCTGCCCCCATGCGATACAAAGGCCAGTTTAATTCACTTATGAGCTCAAATTACTTTTCTTTTTTGAAATAAACCCCCCCACTTTTGAAAATACACAGGGCTCAGAGGCGAGCCCGGCAGCTCAGAAGGGCCAGCATGGAGCAGGGGGCTGTGTGCCCGGAGAAGTCCCTGGAGCCTCCTCTGAAGGAGGTTGGGAGACCCTCGCCCTCGCGTTGGGATTGTGCTCTGCGGCAGCGTGAGTTTTGGCCGAGGTCGGGGTCTGGCTTAAGCGATGGTTTAAGGAACGAGGGGGCCAAAAAGCCAGCAGGGATGGTCATCCCAGACTCATCCCACAGGGAAAGCCTCTCCTCTCTCCTCACCTCCTGAACCAAAGACACAGCTGGGGAAAAAAAAAAAAAAAAAAAAATCTATTAGTGATGGTGGCAGGAGTCAAAGTGGGGGAGAAAAAATGAAAATAAACCTTTTGCAGGTTTTATTCAGTTTCTCAATGGAGATAAAGCCCCAAGGAGGGGATTTGGCATGGAGAAAGAAAAAAAAAAACTTGACTCAAATACTGTGCTCCACAGGAAGCTCCATGCGACCCTGATTCCCCTTCTTTCTGCTATTAAGTCACACCAAAAGGAGCTCAACTAAAAATATTAATTTTTCCCATGTCAGCAGCTGCTGGAATTGCCTTTGGGAGCAGGGAAGGGTTCACGGGAGAGGAGAGAGACAGGACTCGCATGATTATGGATGCAAAGAGCCTCCCGAGACAGAGCCGGTCCAGCCATGGGGCTCCAAGATCCGATTGGAAAAACCTGCCGGCTCAAAGCTCATCCGGGGTTGATTAATGACCCAGATCATCACAAGTAATTAATGCTGTCATGCTGCAAACCCCCCCACGCTCCCGGTTTGCCAGTTCCCAGCTTTCGGGAGAGGTGGAAGGGTGGGAGCATCTCTGGGCGAGGGATGCTCCGTGGACCCCAAAGCTCATTTGCCGACGCCAACAGATCCGCCGCCCTTGGTCCCGGTCCCACTAACGAGTTTTGTTTCACCTCCTGTGACTCGGGCATCACCTTCGATGATCCTTGATCCACGTTAGATGCGCTGCTGGGCTGCTCCTCCATCGCAGCTTGTCTGGGTGGAGACCGAAATAGCAATTCCAGAGTGACGAGCAGTTTTATTTCCAGATATTGAGAGTAATTAGTAATTACCAGGCAGGGACCCTCTGGGCATCCTATGGATTTTGTGGCCACTCCTGAAAATCTTGCACGGATCCAGGGCTCCGGGACCAAGTGACTCAGAGGATGCTCAAGGTTTCCTCCTCATATTTGCTCCCCTCTACAAATTGCTTTAACCGTGTCCCTCGAGCATCAGGTTTTGCAGGGGGAGGCCGGTTTAAATAAGTTTCCTGTAAAAACCAAGAGCCAAAAGCAGATCCTGGTGAAGCCTCCCAGGGTTTCAAGGTATCAAATACACAGGGATGGGACTATTTCAGCAGCTGGATGAGGGCAGGGTGGGAATGATATGCAAGAAGGAAGGAAATAAATATATAATAGACAGGGAGAGACCCTTGGGCTAAGCAGCAGCCTGCCAGGCACTGGAGAAGCATCCCAACCCTGTCCTGGTTGATAATGGGTGTATTTGAGACCGGATCACGGCACACAGGATAAAGCCAGAAAAATACAATCAAGGAATAACCAAAGGAGCCCATTTTATTCCATCACAGTGCTCGGCGTCTCCCGGGAAGGCGATGCTGGAGCGCAAAGACAGCACCGGCGGCTGGAAGGAGCCAGGCTGCAATTTCGTATTCCCTCCACCCCCCGAGATAAGGATGGCTCTTGGCAGCAATTTCAACGGGAAAACGTCTCACCCCCGGGGTGAAACCCACCCAAAAAGGGTCTCCTCCTCCAGCAGCTCCCTTTCCCAGCTCAGCTCTCTCCCTCGTTACCAATTATGCAGCAGGATTAGCATTGCCGGGGATGACACGGCAGCATCACTGCAGAGCATCATGCCATGACGTTGGGGGGGAGCGTGCCGAGGTGCTGAGCACCCCCTGCTCACCGCTGCCCCCCAAAAGCAACCGCAGCCCCATAGCTTTGCGGTTGTGCAGAATACAACACCCTTCAGTGCTCCCCGGTAAGTGGAAAAGGAGCTCCCACCATCGCCCCGAAGCCCCCCCCGAGCTGTCCAGCAAAGCCCCGAACCCCACCGACGATGGGGAAACGGGTGTTTATCGTCGAGGGAAAACAAACAGAACCCCATGGGGAACCCAAACCCTCGCTCTGCGCTTCCTCCGAAGAGCAGATAAAGCAGCTCACCTTCTCAAGGACGGCCGACGGGATGGGGAGCCCCTGCGACACCCCCCTGGGGCAGCAGAAGGGCTTTGGTTTACGTTTCGCACCACTTGGGAAGGGTCCGGCACACTCGAGCACGTGGCCGGACCCAGCGGAGCACGTAAACCTCCCTCCAAGGGGAAAAAAAAAAATTAAGCTCACACTTGATAATCGCTGCAGAATTAAACCAGGAGCCAGCAAAAACAGTCGGATCCGGAGGCACTTCCACCGGCTCAACGCCCGGCACAGTGCATGCCGCTCCTGGCCCGTGCGTTATCCAGGTGTTATCCTGGGGCAGGAATTAGGGCAGAAGCTCATATCGATGAACCCAGAAACAAGATGAAATAATTTGTGCCCTGCTGGGATGGTTGGGATGGCTGCTTGGCCACCGTGAAGAGTTCAGCAGTTCAGCTCCTTGACAAACGAGTCGTCAGAGGCTTTCCCAAAGGATTCGGCCGTTGGCCTCCACAGCCAGAAGGTTGATGGATTCGCTGGGCTGCGTTTCAGGGATGCTGCAGCCGGTCGGCACGCCGGAGATCTGAGTTCAGCCTGGGTCGGTCCTTACACCACCGGCACTTCAGTGAGCAACCAGCTTTGGGTTTTTACGACAAACGGCAGAAGACTTGGTTTCCTCTTCTACGCTGCCGCTAACGAGCGCAGCTAACGAGTAAATCTAGGCTACAGCTCCCACGGCTCAAGCACCGCTGGCGCTGGAGCCTGCACTTACGCAACCAGCATCGCAATCGGTAGCGATGGGTCCGGGTTGTCCTAGAGCCCCGAGTCCCCTCGGCGTACCTGCTGACGGTGGGCAGATCTTCCCATGCTGCTGCCCGGCCTCCTGGGGAGGGTCAGGCGGGGGCTACGGAAAAGGTCAGTCCCCAAATTCCCCGCTCAGTCCCTTTGCCCGTCACCAGAATCAAGTCATAAAGGTGGATCGTCCACCCCTACGTTGCGCTCGGCGGCTCTACAGAACGCCTCGATCCAAAGACCCCGAAGGGCAAGGAAGACCCTGAAGGTGGGAGGATGAGAAACCTTCGAGGCGATGGCACGGGAGACCACCGCCGCGGTGGTCCCGCTGGTCCAGCTCCTCCTGAGGGCGAGTGTGGGGTTGCTGAGCAGAACCTTCTCTCCTGGATGCTCTTCTCAGCCGGGCGAGAGGGGTCAGACCTCCTGTGCCGGCTGCCGGGCTCCTTCCAGACAGTGGCCACGGCTACGGCCGGTCGGAGGCTACTGGTCCTGGCCATCACACCACGAGGAAACCACGGAGCACCGGAACTCGTGGGACCGCCGAGCGTCGGAGTCAGCTCGGCTCCTGCCACAAAAACGCCGGCGAGGGTCGGGGCCACGGCGCGGCGAGGAGGAACCTTCCTCCTGGGCCCACCGCCACCCGTCAAATGGGGGGGGGATCATCCCAGCCCCCTCCTCACCTCCTGACGTCCGTGATGGGGGGGCAACGACCCCTGCAATGACACACCCCCACCCCCAAACGCCCCCTGCCTTTGGGGACACCAGACCAGGACCCCCATGGTGGCTTCTTCTCCAGGCCAGCCCGCGTCCCACCATCATCACCGGCTCCTTCCCACCACCCCGCGGCTTCTTGGGGGCCCATGTCATCCCCCTCCCCCCCGACTCGGACCCCGGCCTCCACCCCAGTGT